ATTTATATCCCAATTTTTTTGTTCTACCATATAAAGAAATTAACATCTCTCTACTGTCCTGCTATTTCATAAAACAGATGACATTCTATATCAGAAAACAGAATAATGATTAGTCCTATTAAATTGAGTATTTACATCTATAAAAAGTCTCTATATTGGCTTTATTTTTCTCATTTTTCAGGGTACCATAAAAAACTTCTCCATAGACAGACACTGATTCAGACCAAACCATCAATTTGTGAATGAGAATCTCAAGGTAGAGTGCTTTGTCAAAGGCTGTACTGTACTGTCCATCAGCTGCAGAGTTGGGTCTAGAAATGCAACTCTCTAAACTCCCAATTAGTATTCTCTACCATATCACACACCATATTTTTCGGAAAAGGTACATTCATCTTCAAAAGGTCAAAATTGAGAGGAAGATTGGACACACATATACTAAGGTTTTCATACTAACACTGTAATGTGATAAGGGGCCATGAGAGAGGACAGTGCCCCAGCAGTTCTAAGGAGGCAGAGCTCATGGGAAGCTGAAAAGAGTAGAGGTTGCAGGGGATGGCATTTTCAACAAACTTCCAGAGCAGAAGGAATCCAGATAGATAAAGATGAGGGGGAAGAACATGCCTGGAAGAGAAAACTGCATGGAGAAGAAGCAAAGCAGCTACAACGTTCAACAGTAAAAATCAAACTACTGCACTCCTACAGATAAGTGATGAAAGAAATGGAAATGAACCTAGAAATTAAGTTTATGACTAGGTACAGAGGACATTCTTGAAAAGACTTGAGATCCTGGACTTTACTGCCCAGGCCCTAAGGGGTCATGGACAATTTTTCAGAGATAAATGATGCAATCAGTGCTGTGCTTTAGCAAGATCCATCTAGCAATGATGTATGGAATGGATCTGGAGACATTCTGCTTGCAGTCCAGGCGACCTGATTGGAAGCAATGTTGGGAGCCAAAGGTATGAGGAGTGCAGGGCCAGATAAGGGCAGAAACAATGAGATTAGGAAAAAAAATAAAAAAGAAAATATTCTGTCAGTAGAAGCAGAGTCTAGAGGCAGATTGCACATGGAAAGTCAGGTTTCCCACCTGAGAGACAAATAGGAAGTCATCCAAAACACAGACTTTAATGACAGGAAGGATTGGAAGGGTCAAAAATGAATAGAAGAATTGGGAACATTTTTACCAGAAGCAAAACAGGATGTTCCTACCTCTTCAAATGAAGAGTTGCTAAGAATGTATTGATCCAGAATATTGGAGGAATTTCTTAAATTGTTTATAGACATGAATGTTTAGAAACATGAATGTTTTCAGAAATCTAATAATTTTTGACATTTGAAAAACACGTGTTTTGGCCTCAGTTTGAGGGTTGCAAATTGCTTCTGATCCTCATTAAAAATCATGCAGAAAAAAAGAAGAAATTAGAATTCCAGAGTTATCAGGGACTTTGGAAATCATAGGCCAACTCCTTATTCTAGAAGAATTGGAAGACTAGAGAGAGAGACAGTTATATAACTTGCTCAGAATGACATAGAGAGCTAGTGAAAATTTCAGGAACAAAGCCCAGGTCTCCAATTGCTGTCTAGTACGTTGCCGTCTCTGGAACAAGATACAGCTTTTCCTTAGGAAGGTTGGAGACATTTCAGTTATTTCAGTTCCATTCCTTCTACTGTCCTTCCTTCCCTGAGTTCCTCCAAACAAGTTCCTGCGGACACTGAGGACCTACCGCTGGCTTTCATTCTCTTCACTCTCAATAGACCTCCTAACCCTTCCCTTGAAAAGAAATGGGCCAAGTAAACATTCTATAATGTCAAAGGGAATAAAAACACAGCAATCGGTGAATTCAGCTCACAAAAGAGAACAATTGCTGCTCCCCAGGTCTTTAGTACAAGTCTGAAATTTACTGTTAGGTAATGGCTCCAACCTATAGGATACAGGCCTCAGTTTTCCTGAGGGAAAAACCTGTGGTTATTTTTTTTATTAGAAGGCAATGTATTATATTAAATCATATCTACGCAGCCAAAGGGAATGTTAAACAATCGTGCTTGTTGATTTATCCAGGGACTGGGGCTTGTTGAACAGGCGAAAGCTGTTATCTTGATCTCAAAATGAGCAGAGTTGAGTTTGACTCATCTATTTTGAATGTCAGCACATCATGAATTCATCAATAGGACATGAGGACAGAGAGACCAAACCAGTTAACCTATTGATCATAATCCCTTCTAGAGCCAACCGTAGCTCCTCCAATTCCCAACAATCCATTTTCTGTCTTAATGAGCAGTTCACCCTTTAAACTCGGCCACTCTGCCTTGCTCCTAGGTAGCCCCAGTCACCGAGCAATGCAGGCTGACTACCACTAATTGTATGCCAGGTCTCTGTGGGTGAATTTATGCACATTCCTTCATCTAGTCCTGATGCCTCTATGAGGCAGGTACATTTTCAGGCCAGGAAACACAAGTGAAAGGGGTCTGAGGAACTTACTTAGGGTCACACAATTTGTCACTGGAAAGGTCAGAAATCAAACCAGGTTTATCTGCTGCCAGATTACATGACCTTAAACATGGCATTCTGCCCCCACCTCAGCCCAGATGTAGGCAAAATATTTATCTGTGTGGAATGTACTCAGATGCTAAAGGCCTATACCAAGAGAAAGTGCAGGAAGGGAAAGGGACTTCAAGTCCCCACGTTTGGTCCTCTTTCACTGTCGAAAAAAGCTATAATTTCTGACTTTTAGCTTGTTTGCAGTAGTGCCTCCCCTGACCTCTAGAACTGACCTCATTGAAGTGATACAATGTCCACTCTTCAGGGTTTTAGTTTGTTCTACAAACTAAGTCCTAAAGTCGGAAAATTTATTGCTACATCACTATCCTCATGAGAAACTAATGATTAAAATAGTAGCTGGGGTTATCCTGGAAAAATTCAATCAGTTACTCAAAGTACTTAGACTCTTTTTTTGGATAGGTAGGGAGAACTGGGGACTGAACTCAGGGTACTCGGCCACTGAGCTACATCCCCATTCTGTAGTTTATTTAGAGACAGAGTCTCTCTGAGTTGCTTAGCACCTCTCCGTTGCTGAGGCTGGCTTTGAACTCGCCATCCACCAGCCTCAGCCTCCCAAGTCACTGGGATTACAGACATGAGCCACCATACCTGGTTCAAAGTACTTAGACTCTTATTCCCCCTCTTCTGAGCCAGGGTTAATCCCAAGGTTCCTGTTATTACAAAAGCTATATCTATGTTGCTGCTTTGTCTTGTATCAGAGCTTGAAAAATCTTGATTATTAAAGTTTCCTGTATGCTCGTCCTATGGCCTCTGAAATTCCACTATCTAAAGTGTTTGAAAATGTGTTTAATAATTTATAAATCATACACAAAATAAACTAAAGCTCTTCTAGCTTGGGTCAAATGTGGCACCACAAGGACCATCTGAAGTTGAAAACACTTTATACCTCCTGAGAAAGTCTGACATTCATAGAGTATTGGACCTTTACTAGACTAAGGAATTATCAAATTCCTCTGAGGGTAAAGAAATCTAAGGAATATTGTACAGTTAAGCCAGAAAAGACAGAAATTTTCTTTCTATCTGAGACAAAGATCACATAACTCACCATCACCTGCCTAGCACATAGTATTTAATAAATAACTAGTATATAAATGGTTTCCTCACTTGCTTTGAGCACAAAACAAAGTATCCAATACAAATGATATTAATTATAATAGTATAAGTTCATTTGGCTTTGAGCAGTCACCAAATAAAAATATGCTGATTCATAAGCAAGATAAACAAAAATCTCTGTGCTTCAGAAAAGGATTCACTACAGGATCCTTTTAATTAGACAATATGCCAAAAGATAAAGTGTGATTTACAAAAATAGGTTTCACATGCAACTTGTAGAGAATTTCATAAAGTAAGACCACTTTTAAATCCATCCAGCCACATTCTCTTCAAAAGAAGAACAATGTGTAGAAGCCCACAGTAATTCCAGACGTGACTTCCTCTGCTCCTCCCCCATCCACACGTCTCCTGCATTAATCTGGCTAGTTCCTAAGTGTGTGTCAATTTCAGAAAAAGTGTCACAATTCCGAGAAAAGTTCCTTATTCCCCAAACCAAGAAACATCCCTTCCACATGTTTGTCATTAAAAATTATTCCACTGTATCATCATTATGTATTTATAAACTTCACTCAACTGAAAATTCTTCTTAAGGAAAAGAATCATCCTGATCAGCTCTATTTCTCTACTAAGGCTGAAACATAATAACGCCTCAATAAATATTCATAGGATGAATTAGTGTATTGCAGACATAAAAACTTAAAAGAGATCTTAGGATGTGGCTGGTGATCATATGGAGGTAAATTTAATCCTCAAGTGTAAATGGAAGTGGTGAGTCTTAAATAGTTTGATGGGCTCGATGGCTATGTAGACTGGTAGAGCAATACACAGAAAACTTCAGATACGAGGGAAGGAATTACAAAGGAATTCCAAAAGATGAGGATTGCTTGACAGGATGTGGAAGAGGTCATGAGCACAGGTACAAGTACAGAGAGACATGAGGATATCTCAGGAGGTTTGGTCCTCTTGGTCAAGAACAGTGTCTCTGGCCGGGCATGACGGCGCACGCCTTGTAATCCCAGTGCTTTGGGAGGCTAAGACAGGAGGATCAGGAGTTCAAAGCCAGCCTCAGCAAAGGCAAGGCACTAAACAATTCAGTGAGACCCTGTCTCTAAATAAAATACAAAATAGGGCAGGGAATGTGGCTCAGTGGTCAAATGCCCCTGAGTTCAATCCCCAGTACAAAAAAAAAAAATGTCTCTGGTCTAAATGAAGATACACTTGCTGTCTCCAGGCACTGCTGTATTTTCACCCCCAGGGCCCTTTGTGCACTGAAGTCTAGTGTTTGTCATTCTGTCTACCCACTGATGTGGAGAAGAACTAAGCATTTCTGACCAAAAGGAAGAATAAGCTCCTTTAGAAGCAGAGACACTCAAGGGCAGCCTCTTACCTGCTGGTTCTGATACGCTGTGACTGTGGTGAACACAGTCTCGGGGAAGTTGAATGTTTTCACCCCATCCCCCACAGGGACAGGCTTGGTGGGCGAAAGGTCACTGCTGAAGTCCTTGCGAATCACATGAACTCGAGGCTGGTATTTGTGCATAGAGTGCAGAATGATCTGAAATGAGAAAAGGACACATTACGCTAGGTTTGGTTTCAAGGTCCCTCTCTATCTTTTCAAGTTCTCATGCAAAATAAACCCAGGATGGGAGCATTATGGAAAGGATACAGATTGGGGGTGAGATATACAGAAACTGGAAATCAATGTACTCACCCACCCCACCGTAGGAAGGACTAAGTCAATACAGAGCATTGTGTGGAAGCATGCTGCAAAGCATCCCCACCATGGGTGGTAGATGTGATTTGTTTGCTTTAATTGGAAAAATGCTGAATGACTGTTCTAGCACCAGAGCACAACAGTCCACTAACAGGTCTCAGAACCTCTGCTGTGTGACAGGCTGTTGCCTCCAGTTTCACATTTCCAGCATGGGTTCATGCTATCTTTAAATCCTATATGCTATTATTTGCACTCATTACTGAATTTATGGAAATTCTTTTATGTCATGTGAGTATGAATGGTGTGTGTTCTCATTCCTTCAGAAATCATCATTTCCTTGAAGATAGGAGCCATGGTTTTAGCTTCTTCAATCTTGCCATAGCCCCCAGTATGGATTCTTGCAATGAGTGAAAATTCAGTATATGTTTCCTTGCCAGAGATAAATTAATAACATCAGTTCCTCTAGTTATATCTGCAAAACCTTGAGACTTGGTGTTCTCTTGTAAATTCACAAATTTCTTAACAAATAAGCCAAAACTGTCATTCACTTGTTTCCCTTAGTTTATTGCCCCGTGAGTTATTCTACTGAATGTTGTGATTTCTTTTGCCATTGTTTAATTTGTCTTGTGTTTCTGTCTTGCTTCCCTGACTGAACCGTTAAGTCCCTGGAGCAAAAGGACTTTGTCTGATAAACACAAGCTGATGCATAGCAGATGTTTGCTAAATGTTAGATTTGTAATAAATGAAATTTAACTGGATTTAAAAATAAAAACTTTTGTGCTCACTTGCTTAAAATGACTTAAAGTGGCAGAATGATTCTTCTTGTATCTACTTGATAAAGCCTGGAGTTAGTCAGCTCTAAAGCAGAAAGGGGAGGAGGGAGGCAGAGGAAGATACAATTCTTTAACTCACATGTCCTTGATCATCCAACTCATTGTTGGTCAGCTTGAGTTTGTCGAAACTGACCACCTGTCTCATCCAGGTGTCTCCAGAAGCAAGAGAATCCGGGTGTATATAAACCCTGGGAGGCACAGGGGAATCCGCATTGCCAGCCACCATCCACTTGGAGCTGTGATACACGTATCTGAGACAGAGAGGGAAAGAGGAGAATTTAGAGACAGATGCAGAGAGGGATGGGCCTGGGGGGGGGGCGGAATAGAGATAGGAATGAGGACAAAGAGATGACAAGAATGGAGAAGTAACAGGAATGAGGTAGAGAATATAAATGAGAAAAAGAGAAAGGCAGGTAGGAATCCGGGGGAAATGGGACTGACATGGAAATGGACAAGGGAACAGAGTGAAGGAGGGCCGAGAAATGTTGTGGTCAATGATCAAAGCTACAGCTCTGGTGGGGAAAACGTTCTCACAGTCCTTTTCCTTTCTTCTCCCTCTCCTTGCCGTGCACCCCTGTGTGCGCACAGGCATCCTGAGCCCGCGTGTCTAGCTAGGGAAGAGGTATTTTACTGCAACCTTTCACCTTCCAAATGCAAACCATATAATCCCTTGGCCACTTGTTCAGGATTTTGTTCCTTATTAAAAACATCTTCCATATTGTTCTATAAAAGGCAGCCATGTGTAGATACCCTTTAAGTCTCTCCTCATTAACCATTTCCTTGCTAAGAGCCTGAATTCTGAGTGTTTCTAGGAGAACGGAGATCCTCTGTGCAACCATTCCTACAAATACCACCAAAATCTATTGGGAGCCTCATTTTGAGATTGATCATCTTCCACATTATTTTCCCATAAACACCACTAAACCCCGAAATGTTGTTGGCAGTAGAAGAGATCAGTTTTCTAGGCCCCATTGGCTTCCCCGTAGTACTGAAAAGCCATCTCCAGGGATCTGGTGCTTCCTTGCTTCTCAGTTCCAAAGGACCATGTGAGACCTGGACCTTGGCATACAGAGACACTCAGTCCAGATTACAACTTCCAAGATTCTTTAAAACATACCGGAAGCATCTTCTCTTTTAAGTCCTGCAATCCAGGCCTTGTGTCTCTTGACCAGTTCTCTTCCCCTATCCTGGCCTTCAAATTCATAGGTTTGGGGCCAAGTTTTCCAACTTTGGATATTTAAAAATAAGCCATGATTTAATGATTTGACTAGTATTTTTTTTTCTAGGTACTGGGGATTGAATCCAGAGGTGCTTTACCACTCAACTACATCCCCAGTCCTTTATTTATTTTGCATTTTGAGACAGGCTCTCACTAAATTGCAAGGCTAGCCTCTAACTCGTGATCCTCCTGCCACAGTCTCCTGAGTAGCTGGGATTACAGGCATGCACCACCATGCCTAGCTTTCTAAAATGCTAAAGAAACTTGGCAGCTTTTTTTTTAATAAGAACTGCATACAAGTCATCTAAGAGACATGAAGATGATGATAGATTTTAATGGCATTGAGAGAACACTATCTAGCAAACCCATACCCATATTAAGGACAATAATTCTCACTAACTAGATGTTCTTCTTGAGGTCTTACCCAATGCTCCATATATTAGATGTGTGATTGAATATGCTACACTGGCCCATTTCCCCTTCCATTCTCCAAAATAATTCAATCCAACTCATTTAGCATTTCACAAATCAAATGATTTGAGATTTTAATCAATGTCAATGTTAACTAGATTCATTTTAGGCTCAAGAAACATTTAAACTTTTGCTGCCCTAAGAGACACTATAAATTCCTTTTCTGCCTGGAGACCTAGAAAGGATTCAAGACCAAACTATTACTGAGCCCTGTTTCTTATGTCCTACCTCTAGTTACCACTTCCTGCCTGATACTCTGCCACAAGCCATTGGCATTTCCTTGTTCCCTGTGCAGTGTACCCTGTTAAAATGTTCCACCTAATGAGTTTAAAGAACTGTCTTGGCATGCTGGCAATTCCCACCATTCCTACCTGTATCTTTTATTGTCCACAGGTACAATGTCCATTGCTATGTAGTACTGTTGGTGTGGATCCAGGCCAGTGATTTTCACTCTCATGGCAGGAAACATCCTCCTGTGAAAAGGAACAGGAAATAAGCTCTTAAGAGTGTGGGGGGGGAGTACCAGGAGTAAAAGTCTAACCTACTCTTAAGTTTTAAAGATTGTTGATTTGTTTTTCGCTCTGAAAATGATCACTATGAAATATAGTGGAGACCGATATTGCTGAAACAACATCTCTTCTTAGTTTAAATTGCCTTATTTGACGACTCATTCATTCACTCAAGAGGCTCTACCATGCCCTATATCTGCTTTATATTTTTAATTAATCTTTAATGTAATATATGTGTTTGGGGGAAAGGGTATCAGCATGTCTCCACACAACATTTTCTATTAGCTATAATCGTCACGAAGATAAACACAATAATTTACCTACTTCTTATTATCCAGGGGACTTTTGACAACTAATTGTAGGTGATTGTAAAATATGTTTGACAGACTGAGTTTATTTTTAAATCGTCACTCTAAAAATAATCTCAAAAAAAAAATGAGAAAAAGTGAAGGTGCTATCAGTCCTCCCCCAACACACACAAAAAAAAGTCCACCAAAGTTCCTTTCAATTCATAAAACTGTAGGAACATTTCTGCAAGTTCTCAGGCTGTCAACGTGTGTGTCAGAGGAAGGACCCTGTGGAATAAGGAGCAAATACCAAATGAATTCTAGTGGCCTCTGGGCACTACCTTGTTTCTACCACAATGGCTTGTTAAACTTGCCAAAGCCAGTGAGGTCAGGATATGGCACTTTACAACCTCTCTCATAATTGAGGAGAGGAGGAGAGTGAGCAGACCAAAAGAGGTATTGGGTTTCAACAAGTCTAGAATAAAGTTCACCATTCTTTATCCATAAGAAAGAAGAAAAACACCAAGCTCTTTTGCATCGAGCCAGACATAAAAAGTGCTCAGTTCAAAAATTTGGATTGCCTTGAATATGCTGTAGGGTACTTGTACACAGAATGCTGCATTAAGCTTAACCATCTGGGGCTGGTTAGTCGAGCTGGGCAAAGCACAGTGCTAATGAGGTCAAGGTCACAAGCTTGATCCACATATGGCCTAATTGGCTTTGCTCCATTTCACGGCCATAGACCATACTCTGACCTCAGACAGCCATCTTCCAAATGTATGCTGGACGATTACAGGACATGCTCTCTATGCAAGTCACACATTCCCTACTTATCCAGGAAAAACAATCCAGGAGCAAATGTCCTCTGTCAGTAAGTCGATGATATCATGATATTTGAGGGATACAAAAGGGATCACACACCTTCAATAAGGATGATGGCTAATTCTTAAATAGTTGCAAAATATAACATATAACCATTCCTTCTTTCCCACTTTATTACTTTTCAGAAGCTTCTGCTGTTAAATCAGTTTAGATTTTTCTTCCCCTACCCTTATAGAAAGCTTTATATTTTAGATTTGTGGTGGGCTATTAAAATGTGATGGCTGGCTACTCAATGACTGAATCTAACATTCACAATAGACAGTTTGATCCACATTAACTCTTTCCAAAAATTTGAAAAACTTGGTTAACACATTTAAATACAGATCAGTAATTCCCTCCTCAGTAAGAGTGGCTCACAATTGCCCTGTGTGTATGTATGATTGGACAGCATCTCTCCAGGGATAGAGACAAAGTCGTCTCACCTACTACCTGAGGTAAGGAAATGTGGTTCCTCTCAGTCACCTACAGAGGTTGTATTACACTGACAGAAACTGATTTTGCTTTTGTCTTGATGACTTCAAGAAAAGGGGTTTAATGTCTTGTTTAATACCTGCTTTGTCTGGAACAGTCATGTGACCTCGAATGCAGAAGCTACCCAATCCCTTCCCAGTATCCAAGCTCTAAAATGAATGAGCTGTGTGACTCTGAATAAGTCTCTAGCCCTGTCACCTATAAAACAAAGCAAAGGGATGAGATCATCTCTAAGGTGCCTCCCTGTTTAAAATTCTATGACTAAAGTTGAATTCCCTTAACAACTTGGCAAGCATTGTTTCTCCTTTTGGCATTTTAGCACAGAATATCAAGTGGAGTCAGAATACTCTGGAGAAATATTAATCTTTCATATTTCACAAAAGGAGTTGTGTTTGGTGTTAATTTTATGGCTTAAGTTTAGGTCAGTCGTATTTTGTCTTCTCAACCCAATAATCCCTAGAAGCACCTCTGTCCATGGTGCTGACTACATGGATTGCGTTGGTATATTCAACAATGGGGGGTTCTATAGACTTGCAGTAACTCTAAATCAACAGGATTCATTTGGGTGTGGGAAATGGGTGGTGACTAAGATCTTAGGGGTAAAAAGGCAAAGAGTCATATATAATTAAAATAACTAAGTGAATGAAAGCTGGAATTAAAATTAAAAAGGATACTACATAGGAAGGAAAATGAAGTGAGAAGAAACAAATTGACCAGGGGGATAAGAAGGGATGAAGAAAATTCACAGAAGAAGAAGCCTTTTTGGTGTGTTTCTGAGTTGTCCAGAATAATCTGAATTAAGAGTTACATGCAGCAATAGCTGAGGCAATCCAGTACAGAAACAAAGGCCAGGCACAGTAGTGCACACCAGTAATCCCAGCTACTTGGGAGGCTAAGGCAGGAGAATCACAAGTTCAAAGTCAGCCTGGGAAACTTAGGGAGACCCTGTTCCAAAACAGAAAAAAAAAATAAAAGGACTGGGGATGTATCTCAGTGGTAAAGTGTCCTCAAGATCAATTCGTCCCCCCACAACATACACCACATTAAAATACTAAAATAAAAATAAAAGATTTCAACATGAGTTAGGAATAATCTGTGTATGTGCTAGGGAATATGTGGGTATATCCAGGTATTGAGGTGAATTTTTAAAAACAGAAATGTGCAGAAGAAATGGTGAAATCAGCTACCAAAGAGTCGTCAAGTAGGTGCTCAAATGAACTGAATTCACTGAAGTGTAGGGGTGAGAGAGTGGTTCAGGACAAGAGCAACTAGAAAACACAGACCCATCAGCAAAGTGAAAGCACCAACTAACACCTAGGAAAGCTTCTAGTCCAAAAAGAAAAAAACAAAGAATACAATAATTTGCCTCGCCTCTCTATAAACTTCTTGCCAAAAATCAAAACACTAAAACTTTCAAATAAAAACTTTTTTCCTTGGATTGCTTTGTTTTCTCTCAAACCTGAACACCACAAAATATGGAAGAGGAGAACATAAAACCCAGGTAACAAGAAAGAGATGGCACTGAGAATAAGTCTTCAAAGTTGCTCCACCTAAGAAGACTTTTGATGGTTTTGTTCACCACTAAAACTTAAAGAAGAGGGCTCCAGAAGAGAGAGAAAATGAACAAGGTTTCAGGTTCATTCTAACCTCATATTTAATGATGTTTATTGTACTGAGAGGTTTCCCCTAAATGCATGTGGGTGAACTGGGCCAAATCAAAATATTCTTTCATTTTATTTTTATATTTCATTTTACATTTTATTTTATTTTATTTATATTTTACTTTATATAACCATGTTCATGCAAACAGTGAGGTGGATCTTCTTTTTGTCCCATGACATGTGAGTCCATGTATACTGGCTCCAAAAATATAAAAGAAGCATAATTCGTTTTGCTTTATCTCAGTTAGCTACTTCTATACTCTCAAAAACTTATTCCATTTTTAATTTTATCTCAATCATTTTCATTCTGAATCCAAGCAGGGAGAACCACAACCATTTCTTAATAATTCAGAGCTACGGGGCTGGAATTGCAGCTCAGAGGTAGAGCACTCACCTAGCACGTGTGAGGCCCTGAGTTTGATCCTCAGCACCAGATAAAAATAAATAAATAAAATAAAGGTATTGTGTCCAACTATAACTAAAAAATAAAATATAAGAAAAAATAGCTCAGAGTTATAAGTCTATAACACCATTGCTTTGGAGCCACATCAATTTATGTAAACTTCTGGAACTATCTCTTACTCTCCCTGTGCCTTAGTTTAGTGAATTAACCTCCTCCAGTCTTTGCATCCTTGTCCATACATGGGATGATTATATCCTACCTCATAGGATTTCTGTGGTGTTTAAAGGACATAATATATGTTGAGTTTCCAGCACAAAACAAATACCTAACAGTGGAGAATTGAAAGACGTCAATAAAGGAGTAGTTCAACTAAAAGTATCTCTTTCAAGAGGAGCTTTTTGTAGATTGTATCATTTTAGGTAAACAGTTTTGCAAGAGATTCCCCACAGATCACCATTCAAATTTCATAATCTTAAACCAACAAAAAAGTGCAGTGGATCAACCAGCAGGGCTTAGACCATACACCGTACACAATTCTTACACAAGCATCTGATTGTTTTAAATGACTTATAAGATGTAAGGTATTGTTTGGGGAGCAGACTTCTTGCAAACTTTGGATGTGAGAGTAAACACTGACCTTGGTAATCGGTATTTTGGCCATGGGTACCATGGGTCCACAGAATCAGCTGATGTCCATTGTAGGTGGAAAATGTTTGGGAGAACAGAGGTGATTTCTATTTGGGTACTTGGAGGAAGATAGCAAATCACAGTAAATGCAACAGGACAACATTACCAAGTGTCCCAAGGTAGGAAATGGGGTGCAAGTTGCACTGGCTTAACTGACACTACTACAAATATGTGGAGTCTGCGGATTTGGTTCTCCATCCAAAGAAACTCATCCTTACCTCCCGGCTTTGGTGATGATCATTTCTGTCCCAATGTCATGGAACCTCTTCCAGAGGTCAGCGCATTGCAGCTCCACCTGGATCTCTTCCATGGAGGACATGGCAGCAGGCACAGGGCCGGCGGCACCTGAGGCCAGGTCAGCGTGAGCGCTGAAGGAGCAGGAGGTTCGCTCAGTGAGCACCTCTGAGTCTGAACCAGTGCTCTGCTCGGAATCTGCAAAATAAACAATCAAGCCTTAGGTGAGAAACTGCTGAGCTGCCCCCACCCTTGGCCCGGAAAGACAGGGGGGCGGGGGGACGCTGTGCAGAGGGGTGAACAAAAGGAGACTTGAAGCTGGGAGCTCCAGAGCACGGCACTCAGGGTATTTTATTATTTTTTTTATGGTTTGTTTTTGTGATTTACGACCTCCTTTCAGGTTTCGTGTTTCCAACATGACATCTGGCATTTTAGTAAGTTTTAGCAACAGCTGAAGAAAATTGGCCCACAACAGGCCATATAAGGAGTACTAATGTCACTGTGTTGAAGGGAATGAGGCCAAACTGGGGTGACCCCCCCAAAAAAATTCCAGATTAATGGAAAATATCAATGAGAGGTTGAATCTCCAGACCTAGATTAGACAATTTCACTTGAGGTAGAAAAGATCCAAGGCTACAGACGATGTGTGTGCTTTCATTTCCCACCACTCAGTATCCTGGCCCATCGGTCTGTTGCTTTGAAACCCAGCAATTTTTCCTCCACTCATGTATGCCCTGGTCATCAAAAGTAATGAAACGTTGTTTGGGCTCTTTAGAAGCACTTTGTCACATATTTGAGTAAATGGTTTTTTCCTAGGAACCCAATCAGGCCATTCTTGATGGGAAAAAAATCTCTGTTGTGAGGCAAGGATATAAGCATATGGAAAAAGTTACTCGAGAAGGCAGTTGAAACAAAAGGAATAAATGAGTTCAGGAGACACCTTGATTGGTTTCTGAAGTATGGGTGAGGGGAGGGTTGATCCAAACAGGAAGGTGGGATTCAGAAAAACCAAATAAAAAGCTGGCATGCTGGGTCAGATGGTCCTGTCCTGTGTCTTCTGTTCTCATGAAGAGAGGTGTGTGTGTGGCTGGCGGGGAGACAGGAGGCAGAAAGATGGAGAAGGCTGAAGTCAGATGTACCAGAGAAGATTCCTCAGGAATTTATACATTTTTCTCTGAGGAACTGGATGCCAAGAATTCTAAGTTCTCAGGTTTTCCAAATTGAAATTAGCTAATTCAATGTTATTAGGCCAAACGGTACTGCAAACCAAGCCTAAGAACCTGTTTCTATAACACAGCCTCAATACTGAACATTCCCTCCGTAAAGTAAATATTGATGAGTAAAGTTTGGATTTTTCGAAAGAAGCATATAACTCTGACAAAGGACCTCTATTTTTAACTTTTTAAAAATTGACATAATAATTGTACAAATTATGGGACAGTGTTGATAATCTGATATATGCGTACAATATACAATGATTAAATCAGACCATTTACCATTTTCATCTTCTTAAATATTTATCATTTTTGCTAGGTTACTTTATTTTTCTTTTTTCAATTAAATTTATTTTTGATTGATCTATAAAAACACAAAAATTGTATATTTCAATGGGGGTGATATGATGTGTCAATGTTTGAATATATTTGTAATGTTTAGATCAGGTTAGACATATCTGTCTTCTCAAACACTTATCGTTTCTTGGTGGTGAAAACTCAAAAATTCTTATGTCTAGTTTTCTGAAATGTGCAGTACATTAGTTCTACTGTGTGACAGTGCACCAAATCTTCTTGCTTCTAATATAAACATAACTGAGTGCCCATAGATCCACCTTTCCCATTCCTTCCTTCTCCTACTCTCCCCAGCCTCTGGTAACCATACTGTACTCTCAATTTTTATAGGACTGAATTTTTTAGATGTGAGCTCTGAGTGAGAGCATGTGGTACTTGTCTTTCTGTGGCTGGTTTATTTCACGTAACATAATGATCTCCAGTTTCATGCATGTTGACACAAATGACAGACTTTTATTCTTTTATTGGCTGAATAGTATTCCATTGGACATATGTACAGCATTTTCTTTATCTACTCATCAGTTGATGAACATAGGTTGTTCCCATGTCTTGGCTCTTGGAAATAGTGCTGCAACGAACACGAAAGTGTAGATGTCTCTTTGACATACTAATTTCATTTACTTTAGATATATAGCCAATAGTAGAATTGCCGGATCACATAAGAGTTCAGTTTTAAGTTTATTTTTCACGTTTCCCATAAAGTTTGTACTAATTTACTCTCCCACTGAGAGCACTAAGGTGTTTTCTTTCTTCCACATTCTCATCCACACTTTCCCAATGTCTATTTTAATCACAGACATTCTTACTAGAGTGAGGTGATATGGGATTGTGATTTTCATTTGCTTTTCCTGGAGGATTAGTGATATTAAACATTTTTTCATGTACTTGCTGGCCACTCCTCTGCCTTCTTGTGAGCAACGTCTGTGTAAGAATTGACAAGTGACTTTGTAATGCTGTCAAGATTCAGAGCTTCTCGCAGGTCAGTCTTTGACCAGTATAATGGAAGAAAGAAGGTCCAAAATGCCCACCCATCTTGCTACCTCCCTCACTCAACTGCAACAGGTCTCTACACCTGTGAACAACATGTCCCATGGGTTCTTTGTCTTTCTTTCTAACCCTGGATTTTTTTCTCTGTCAAACCTAGGCAGCATCCTTGGCAAGAGTATCTTACAGTCTTGTCAGTGTCCACAGGGAACAAAGTGTCAGTTCCATCCATCCTCTCCCGTTCCTCATCTGTCACTTCTATATACCTTCAGATAGCTGCAGAATGGAATCATACCTCCTAGAAAAAAAGTTTCTTACCAAAAACTTTGGCTTATCCATAATCACTAATCCAGCTAATATCCTCTCCAAAAAAATTAAAAATCTATAAAGTTTTATAATTGGGTTCTACATGTCTAAGCATATAACTTTGTGTCTCAGGACCAAACAGGAGCTATTTTTTGGTCTCCTTAAAGCACAGAAAAGTACAGCTACTTATCTAAGATAAGAGCTGTTTCTGAGTGAAAAATCTTAGCCTGACTCCGTATCATTACACACTCAGCAAAACATAGTAATTCAGATTTCCTAAGAAGTGGATTTCCAATTCCCTTTTTGTGTCTGTAATATCCCAAGAGCTCCTCATTTACCATAAATATTATGAATTGTTATAAACCTCTCAAAACAAGTTTTTTTAAAATAAAAAAATCTTAACCTCCATTTGTAGCAAAGAATTACAAAATCTCCTCACCACAGAGTTCTCCCATGATGAAAAGGTTGGAAGTAGACACCCTAGGTAGAGCCCAGCAGAAGTTTTAGAGATGATTTCTCTAATGTACGTTTAGGAAGGGGGAAGGGAGGAAAGAAATCACTGAGCCAAGTCATAAATATTTAATGGTAGTCTAGTTGAGGCTGTGATTGAAATAGGGACTGTCACTGGAGAATTAGGAAATAGGAGACTCAACTCTTAACTCATTATGTCATCTGGAATAAAAGGAGACTCAAAATTTAACATTAAAGGATTAACAAATAACCTTAAATAAGTCGCTTAACCACAAAGGTCCTATTTCCTCATTGTGCAATGAGAAGAACTGAACTGAATACTTCTTGAATCTCTTCTCTCTCTCTGATGATTTGAAGAAAGTAAATTAGGAAATGCAAGTGATTACCCAGGAAACCTCAATTAGAAGCATCAAATTTAAACCTGTTTGGGCAAGACAAGTTAAATAAGGAAAAAGACTAGGGAAACAGATTCACATTATCATAGGGATTAAAGAATTGAGTGGCTATGCCTAAGGGTTTACAGTTTCAATCAAACCAATCAATAAGCACCTGTGAGCATATGGCTCTAGATGAGGTACCATATAGATAATTAGAAACAGAATTTCAGACCTTGAGAAGTTTCCTAGTTAGTGTTGATTAATTATGTGTTTATTGAGTGCTTACTATGTGCCCAGCACTGTGCTAGATTCTGAAATACCAAGTCCACAAAGGGACTCCATTTCAAGGTATTTACAATAGAGGTGGAGGCTGGGTATATTCATAAATAATCAGAAAATAAGACAAATGACTATCATACAGTTTTCCACAACATTACGTATTATCTCAAATATCTTGTAGAAATCCAGAAGAAAAAAAAAAGAAATTTAAGGAGATTAGAACAGTCCTGATAATCCATGGGTACTAGTAAGGAAATGAAAAAAAAAAATCTATGCAAGCAAAGGCAGTGTGGTGAGAATTTACAGAGACAGCTATTTACACCCCTGGAAATACTCTGCACTCCAAAATTCTCACTATCACAAAGTAGAACTAGTGACTGTAATTACAGATAGTAGGCACCAGCCACCTTCGAAATAATTTGAATATGCCATGAAGTTTTCCAATCCCAGTTGTTTATTATATATCATAATTTGAATAATATAATATTATGATATTATATTAAGTAACTAATGTATAGTTTATTTAAATTTCTAGAAGAGTTAAGGTTACCTGTGAGATATGCTGCCCTCTAATACCCTTAAAACAGTAACCTCAGAGTCAAGATCAATAGGCTTGGTAAACATAAAGTCTAATCCTTTGGAACACTTATATGCTGCTGGTACAATGGCAAATTAAAACTTCCACTATGGAGATCAAAATGGAAGTTCCTTGAAAGACTAAGAATGGAACCACCAAATGACCCAGCTATACCACTCCTCGGTATTTATCCAAAAGAATTAAAGTTAGTGTGGTACAGCAATACACAAATTTCTCATGTTTAGAGCAGCAGAATCTACAATAGTCAAATTATGGAACCAACCTAGGTGTCTGTCAACAGATGAATAGATAAAATAAAATGTGGTAAATACACATTAAGAGTTTTACTCATCCACAAAGAAGAAAGAAATCATGTCATGTGCAGGAAAATGGATGGAACTACAGAATATCATGCTAAGTGAGATAAGCCAGACTCAGAAAGTCAAGGGTCATATGTTTTCTCTCATATATGGAAGCTAAATAGAAAAAAGAAAAGAGACCTCATGAAAATAGAAGAGAGACACTAAAGTAGATTAAGGAGTTCAGAGGAGGGAGAAGGGAAGGAAAGGGGGGTACAGTGAATTAAGCAGACTGAATTAGGCTATGAATATGTGTGGATATATCAATGAGTACCAC